TTATAGTATAGCTTCAGTGGGTTTATCCTATAGTATAGCTTCACTGAGTTTATCTTATAGTATAGCCTCAGTGAGTTTATCCTATAGTATAGCTTCAGTGAGTTTATCTTATAGTATAGCTTCAGTGGGTTTATCCTATAGTATAGCTTCAGCGAGTTTATCCTATAGTATAGCTTCAGTGAGTTTATCCTATAGTACAGCTTCAGTGAGTTTATCCTATAGTATAGCCTCAGTGAGTTTATCCTATAGTATAGCTTCAGTGAGTTTATCCTATAGTATAGCCTCAGTGAGTTTATCCTATAATAAGCTTCAGTGAGTTTATTGATTAGTTCATGTTCATAAACATAACTTATTATCAATTATCATGACAAGAGGTTATAGCACAATGTCTGAAATACCCAGAAACTACGCCACTGCTGAGAGAAGTTAATCCATAGAAGTTAGTTTCAAGTACGTTTTCCCCACAGCAGTTAATTATATAATTTATATTAAAGGAAAGATAACGCCAATTAAAATATAAGTATAATGCCGAGATGGTTATTTTTCTCTCCAATATCAGTTATTGATTCAGAAGATATAACTTTATCTGATCCTATTCGATCTTTCTACGTATTTTTGTATATCGGGTAGTTCATAACACATTTCAATGGACTTGACTTAGGTTTACATGGAGGTGTCCTCGATGAAGCAGAAAATACTTATCCTTCTGGAACACCTGGTCTTATTCTCCTTGTACTTTTTCATGGGTCAGCATTTAAATGTTTGCTTTTGTCAGTTTTTTGCCCTATTTTTATCGATTTTGAATTTTAATAATGGTTTTGTTAACACCTCGGTATTCTTTTGTCATTTTTTAAACGAAATGTTTTAAAAAAAGGGTGAATTTTGAATTTGACACCATTCTGGACATTCATGTGTAAAAGCTTTTTGTGTTGTGTATTTAGAACATTTCGAGTTGGTAGGTTTGTTCAAAGGTTGTGCAACAGAAAAATAAATATTAGGATAACATTAACTAAACGCACACTGTGTCATTTTATGAAAAGCGTGATATACATTATACATGTACATAGGACAGTTCTTGAAGTGAGAGTAATATCTTCAGTCAGAAGTGCATTGTATACAATATGGAATGGTGATGACATCACAAATCTCAAAGCATTCTAACAATCACAGTACGATACAATAACTGATATAAAACAACATGTGGTATGTGAAAACAGGTGATAGATTTATTGTATACCAGGATATTTTCGTCAAGTCAAATTTTTGCCCCTTGAAGGTAATATTCATTTTCGCCCAATATTAAATTCGCCCTTCGCATTTAATTACTTTGTATACATTATGATGTTTACAAATGTCAGCTGTAATGATAAATTTGCCCTCACTGCGGACGACGAAAACACTTACCAGCGAAAATTAAACTGCAGCGAAAGTACCCCGGTACACAGTGGTATATAGGAAATCTATCACTAACAGAAACATAGAAATATTATACCCAGCTAAAAAAAAAAAAACTTAGTTCATTCAATCTCTTATGAGGTTTGAAATAATTAACAGCTTTCTTCGTTGTGATACATTTACTCTAGTGATGTCCTCGTGTTGTGGTTTTTAAGGGGGGGGGGGGGGGGGGTTGCAAAAGATCTACTGATCAGAAACTGTTGTATGACATGGATGAAAGAATAGGTAATGTAAGAAGTATAAAGCAAAAAGTGTGAAAATAACAAAACTACAAAAATAAAATCAAAGTTTGTGCAGCATGAAGGATAAAACTGACAAAATATAATGGAATTTTGGACAGCAGTTACGATAAAAGAATTGCACTTCAAAATGTAAACAAATCTACCTATCACAAAAGTTAATTAAATATTCTATTGCAATGAAACAAAGCACTACATTTCTGTCACCTCACTGTATTGACCTTATACTACTGTATCAACCATATAATGTTAACATATATATTTTAGCAGTAACCTTATTTCAACGTTTTTCTTGTTTGACATATTGTGCTTTTGTAAAGACAGTTAAACCCTGAGGATATAATGCCCCTGGTTCATTTGCCACTTCCCTCACTACAAATATAGGTAACATGGTCCTTTTTTTCCCCTTTTTTCTAAAGAATTATTTTACATGTTTCCCTTAATTTATCACCAAACCCCTTTATAATGCCAAAATTTACCTAGACATATAGTGGCAGTATAATGAGGTTTTACTGTACTAGTAGCTTTCTATTCCATATATTGTGGTAGCACCAAATTAATCAATGCGCTTACCTGTTGAAATATGAAGTTTTTTATTGTATCAAAATATGTATGTTTACAGTTTATGCCAATTCTTTAACACACTGGACAATTTAATGTGTAGAAAATCAAAACAACAATTATGCAATAATACTTGTATGGTATCACAGGTCTGAAGTCAGCACACAGGAGTCAGGACCACACAGGTCTAGTTGATATCAGTGACATCAACAGATCCCATGATTTATCTACGAGTTCCTTTTATACAACATACATAGTTATCTGATAACTTATTAAGGAATATAAGAGAGGCAACTGAACATTATAAGGAAGAAAATAAATGAAAAAAATCACACACCATTAGGAAATATAAAATATGTAAAATCTATTAGGTCCGATTACTTGTATTAACCTGACCTTTGATTATATGATTTTAATTTTACAGAAACATTACCATACATATGGTCATGGGACTATGCTTTTAAAATATTGAAAAGTTGTCAGAGAAAAATGCATGATATTAGCATGCGTGACTGACCTAAATGTTTTTGGGTCAGTCTAGCTGTCTCCTTTCTGCTAAGTGATCATGGGGATCCAATTGCACAACTATGATCTCTATATGTCATAATTTACATGCATTCAAATCTTACTGACCTGTATGTGTATACATGTATACAGTCAGGTTAATTGGTAAAATATTACTGACCTGTATGGGTATTCATGTATACAGTAAGGTTAATTGGTAAATCTTACGTATACTGACCTGTATGTGTTTACAAGTTTACAGTCAGGTTAATTTGTAAAATCTTACTGATCTGTATGTGTATACATTTATACAGTCAGGTTAATTGGTAAAATATTACTGACCTGTATGTGTATACATGTATACAGTCAGGTTAATTGGTAAAATCTTACGTATACTGACCTGTATGTGTATACATGTATACAGTCAGGTTAATTGGTAAAATATTACTGACCTGTATGTGTATACATGTATACAGTCAGTTTAATTGGTAAAATCTTACTGACCTGTATGTGTATACATGAATACAGTCAGGTTAATTGGTAAAATCTTACTGACCTGTATGTGTATACATTTATACAGTCAGGTTAATTGGTAAAATCTTACGTATACTGACCTGTATGTGTATACATGTATACAGTCAGGTTAATTGGTAAAATCTTACCTATATGCATACATTTACAAACAGCCAGGAGTTATTTACTTTTAAATAAAAAATCCTTTTTCATTAATTCAAAATACTGATGATTCATTATATTTTTCTTAGGAAACAAAAATGTGTACACGAATAAGGTTACATAATGTATGGGAAGTGTATATACAAAGTGTACTGTGAATAGGAGACTGTATATACAAAATATACAATGAAACATAAAAATATCGCCCAATGAACATTTACCTTCAACCAGTTAAATCCTAAATTGATACCACAACAATTTCGCCTTTCGCAGTAGAAACGCTATAAACACTATGCTGTTAAATCGTACTCGCCATAAGGAAAAACGTGCCTTACTAACAGAGATGACAAGGGTGACAATGAAACTGTGGCCGACATGTACGCGCAAACATTAAGTAAAAATTGAAGGAATTCTATATTTACAAATACATATACGGATTTATCTTTAACACTTATATATATTTGTGACACATTGACTATTGTGCCTCAGGATTAAAAGAACATATTTAGTTAGATATTTCATTCATCGAAACACAAAAAATATCTGTGTTCATATAATAACAACGATATAGAAACTCATTAAAAATCACGAAACCCTGATTTGTCATAGTAAAATTTACTAACCGATATTTTTATGTGTATATACATGAAATAACCCTTACAATTTTTACAATTTAAATTTCAATACTTAATGAGTGATATGAAAGAGATTCGTAAACTCCTTAACTCCTGTACATTGTAATAGTCTTCTTTAACTCATTCACCCCGAAGTTTCATAATGCACTGTTCCAACCTTTGAATTGGAAGGGTTCAAATGTGTCTTCAGAGATGAATGAGTTAAAGGGTACCAGATGGTAATCACCAGGGCCCGTATTCATGAAACCGTTCTCATGCTCAAACTCAGATTTTGTGCTCAAGCCCAATTTCTTATTCGGGTAATAGCAAAATGCATTTTATCAATGATCTAGAAGAGTATTGGAGAGGCTTTGGGCTAAATAATGTTTTTTGATGTTTTAACTGTGCTTTTTGACCATGTGACATGATTTTAGGTCATGTCAGTTACCAAAACTTTGATTGGAACACAGAATCAATGCTTGAGCCCAGGTATACTCTCTATAACAAAGGACGACAAAAGAACAGATATTCAACACTTGAGAGAATATTAATTTGTCTTTATCACATTCATCGTCAAGAATATTACAACAATTACACTTATTATCCAGTACAAAAATTATTATCAGAAATTTATCATTACATCAAATACATAATTCACAATGAAGTCATTTAATACAACACAGAAACAGCTTTTGAAGCACCATTCATTAAAATATTAAAAGTTTTAAATTCCAATAATAAAGGTAAGAGGCAAAGCATTGAGATCTGATAAAACAGCGAACACGAGTACCCCAGGCAGACAAGTTGATGTCAATCACATGCCGTGTATTCCGTCTTTGCGTATTGCAGAGTTATCTTCTCTTGGAAGCAGGTATTGATTGTTACGTCATTGGTTTTTGTGAGAAAATTACGTCGTTTTCTCAAAAATTGATGACGTTACTCTCACAAACAAGTGACGTAACAATCAATACCTGCTCCCAAGAGAAGATAACTCTGCAATACGCAAAGACGGAATTATTCTATTAGACTCACTGTATATAGTGGAGCCTGAAACCAGATTTCCATACATGACACTACTATGCCTTTCCCACATATATAGCAAGTTGGATGTTCTAAGCATGACATGCTCCAGACAAAGATATTGTTGTTGCCCAGCCTGCCAACGAGATAAACTCATACCACAATAAGTCCTACCAAAGACGGTCGACAGGTGCAAAAATACAGGAGGTTTGAAAGATTTCTTTAGCTCTTTTTTCTGTATTCCATTTTAGTTAAACTTAACCAGATTGAAAGGAATTACTAATTACAGTTATCTCCCTGTCCACAGCTACACTGGGGAACTTTGTAATGTCAGAACACTGTGGGCTGGAACCATAATAATTCTTAACGTAAACAGTAAATTCACTGGGCTGTTTCAAACTTTAATCCTACAACAGTTTTAACAGACAAATCAACATAAAATCTCATAACTCTATCTTAACATACTTCAGTAACAACATGCCGAATAGATCACTTTACAAAAATCTAAATCAACACTCTTCAACCTACAAACAAGTTTGTGAATAAGGCCAGCTTGTCAAAATAAACTCGCATAATTCTGGAAGCCCAAATCCTAATTTTGGTTTCCATTTAACATTTCAACTTAAAAAAATAGTCTCTGATGATGTGGAAAGCTTACTTCCCTAGTGGTATGCTTGGAAATGTATTTCCATTTCAGTCAGAAAAATTGTTCCTTAAAACAAAAAACAAAATTTTGTATATTTCATTTTTACATTAACAAAGATTAATGTCCAACTTTTGTTATTTCTGCTCTATCAGCAACTAAAAATGTTTAAACTTTACAATACCAGCAACCACAACAAAAGCGAATTTCATAGAATATTTCACACAACCATATAAAAATGGAAATGTAATTTCAAGGTTGAAATGTATTTTTTTAATCTTGTTAGCCTCATTACTTAGGATGTATTGATTCCTATATCACTTTATACAATACACTTAAGTTTCTAGGTGATTGTAATTTTGAATGTATCACGGTGAAATCAACAGTCAGAATAAAGCAGTACTATCTTACAGCAAAAGCTAGTATGTACAATCCTGTATCTTAAACAGGAAACATATATACAACACAAACTCTGTCAAACGTCTGGCGATAATAACAGATTTATATAAAATACAATCAATTTGTAGCAATACTCATAGCAGCATTACTTTGATAAAGGCAATATTCCACTGACCAGTAGTGTTACTTTGACAAAGACAATATTCCACTGACCAGTAGTGTTACTTTGATAAAGACAATATTAAACTGACCAGTAGTGTTACTTTGATCAAGACAATATTCCACTGACCAGTAGTGTTACTTTGATAAAGACAATATTCCACTGACCAGTAGTGTTACTTTGATAAAGAAAATATTCCACTGACCAGTAGTGTTACTTTGTACAGAGACTGTAAAGGCATCTAAATATTTTAATGAGAATGCTGTCGAAAGTACCAGGCAATGAGAATGCTGTCTCAATTAGCAGCCAATGAGAATGCTGTCTCAATTACATATAATTACCAGCCAATGAGAATGCTGTCTCAATTAGCAGCAAATGAGAATGCTGTCTCAATTAGCAATCAATGAGAATGCTGTCTCAATTAGCAGCCAATAAGAATGCTGTCTCAATAACATATAATTACCAGCCAATGAGATTGCTGTCTCAATTAGCAGTCAATGAGAATGCTGTCTAAATTACCAGCCAATGAGAATGCTGTCTCAATTAGCAGCCAATGAGAATGCTGTCTCAATTACATATAATTACCAGCCAATGAGAATGCTGTCTCAATTAGCAGCAAATGAGAATGCTGTCTCAATTAGCAATCAATGAGAATGCTGTCTCAATTAGCAGCCAATAAGAATGCTGTCTCAATTACCAGCCCATCTTAATTACCAGCCAATTGGAATGCTGTCTCAATTAGCAGCCAATGGGAATGATGTCTTAATAGGCAGCCAATGAGAATGCTGTCTCAATCACCAGCCAATGAGAATGCTGTCTCATTAGCAACCAATGAGACTGATGTCTCATTAGCAGCCAACAAAAATGCTGTCTCAATAACCAGCCAATGAGAATGCTGTCTCAATTACCAGCCAATGAAAATATTGTCTCAATTACCAGCCAATGAGAATGCTGTTTCAATTACTAGCTGATGAGAATAATGTCTAAAATTACCATCTTATGAGAACAATTTCTCAATTACCAGCGAGTAGTGAAAAGTCTAAAGCCTCATTGATTCAGGATATCAATATGTAATTTTAATCTCATTATATGAATTTGGACAGTATAAAAGATGAACGATATAATTTGAAATTGAAGATATTGTTACCATATTTAACTAGTGGTCAGTTGATGCTGGGCAATAAGCCAACCCAATTTTTACGACAGTCATCTTTCTTATACACAAGTTCTGTTCCTAGAAAAGCCAAGTAAAATGTACTCATTCTAACCCAATATATAAGGTGTTGGCCAATTATCACAGGTAAGACACGCTTACATATGTCTTTTTCTGGGTATTTTCTCCGTTGTTTTTCCATACATCCTGGTATATAACAATAGGCCTACCACCAGGCCCTTGTGTTATTTAAGCATTGACAATTATAGCAATGTCTGTACAAAACAAAAATATAAATTTGCTGAAAATAATGCTGATAAAATTATGGCTGCAATAGAATGATCTAATTATGTTTTAATAATTTCTTGACCTTTTTCTTTGTTTTTGGCATATTTCTGTCCCTCTTATATTTGGCCTCTTCTTCTTTGAATTCCATTATTCTTGAGGTGAAGAGTTCTGAAAAGAGAAAACTTGTTTTTAGTTTATAGTAGAAAATATCAATCATATCATTGACAGCAATAAATATGGAATTTCATATGCATATTTCAATCATATGCTGTGTGAGACCCCAATATTAGCCCGTGGGCTGATACAGGGCGGGGTTTGAACAGATCTACAGTCCAGTATACAGAATCGGTTTGTATGGCCAGGTTCACAGATTATACATGATTGGAACCAGATAGGTGTCACTGTCTGTCCTGTCAGATAAGATCATGTGCCTTCCTGAATCTTGCTGTTAGCCTTACCCATGGTCTTGGTGGTCCTGTTTTTCTCCACTTGGTGTGTGATGAACACCTCAAACATCTGTGTCTCTGTGAACCACTCCAGGAACTGCTGCATACTCTCTGTGGGGGCACCCTGGATAAAGCTCTCCTTCTGTGTAACACAAAAAACACCTGTCGTGAGTACAATGTTTCAGATAAATTGAAATCAATCAAATTTGTATATTCCTTACTTTCGTTAACTTTCAGCAAACTGGTTTTTTTTCAGAGAAGTTTTTCATATACGATTTATCTGCATGTAAACATTTCCAAACATTGCCTTTTCAGAAAGTAATTGAAAAACTAAAAACAAATATAGCAGAAAAATAAGGATTCAATTAGCTTTTTCGTTATTTGGATCATAAATTGGAAATTACACCATCATTTTTTAAACAACCAACATGAGAGTCTTTCATTGCAGAGGAAAACTTTCACAAAATGTCAGGACTGATAACTGAAGGGCTATAGTTTTGACAGTTTCCTGAATTACAGAAGATTTGCTTTATGTCCTGTCATACAACTACAATATGGTTGCCTCAAGTCATTCAGTTGCTCTGTGATAAGGCACTCTGTCTCCAGGAAAACTGGTTTTTCCAAATAATTATATTCAAAATTAGCGAAATCTTAGGAGAGAAGCTTTTTTGTCATTGATCTGTAGCCAGTACCTGGCGACTGCCCTGCGTAGGCCACGAATCCACGATCCAAATAGTTTACATGTTTAATATTTCAGTTTTGGGATTGACAATGATAAAGTCACCACTTACTACAAAAACCTTTTTGCCATCCTGTTGAATGTTAATGTGTTCGGAGAAATGTGCAATTGCTTCTACAAAGAAACGCAGGAACACTTCTGATATCATGAGATTCTGGGCATTGGAGGCGTCTGAAAAAATAAAACAGACATATGTACAATACATTCGCACCTGAAATCAGTGACCTTGACCCCGACATATCCAAACCAGAAATATGCCCCTGACATTTTACCTGCAGATTGTTATAATGATAAAACTTATATATCACTTGATGTATGAGGCCTGCTCGTCACTGTGTAGACTAGGTAGACAACACTGTTACCAAAGTGTAAAGCTTCTCATCATTGTGAGGGATTTAATTTGTTGAAAATCTGTAAACGCCTAACATTTCACAAATTGAGTACCTGATTATTGTTTTTCGGTTTAAGTCCTGTCAAACAAATTACAACCAACACATATTTTTAACTTGAGGAAATTAAACCTTTCCTACCCAGGATATTTAGCAACGACACAGTAAACTAAGAGGCTAATTAATGTAGGTGTATTGAATGTCCATAGCTTACATATGAATTACAAGAAGCCCAAGGGCCTTAGCGGTCACCCGAGTTACATCATAGACATGGCTAGCTCAATTTCATTGTTGACATGTGATGTGGAAATCAACATGTAAACAAGTATTAATTGTAATGGGGGACCATTACAGAAGTCCCCCAAACTGCCAACATAGTAAAGATGCATCAGAAAAGGATCGCAATACCATAAAACACCTACATACCAAATTTGAGTGAAATCGAACAATATCTGGAGTCTGGAGAAGAAGATTTTTGTAATATTGGTTAATTTTCCCTTTGGGCTCTGCCCTGGCCCCTGGGGTTAGGGTAGGAATCCCAATTTTACAATTTGAAACCATCTTCCTCCAAGGATAATTCTCACCAAGTAAGTATAATTTCCTGCAGAAAATTTTCCCTATATAAACTATAGTAAACTTTACCCCCTTCCCAAGAGAGAACATATGGCCCGGGGTCCTGAAATTTACAATTTCAATAAAGCCCTTGATGATCTTTCCATCCATACAGAGAAAAAGACTGTAGTACCTCTGAGTCTGGAGAGGAATTTTTTGAATTATTGGTTAATTTTCCCTTTTGGGCCCAACCCCGGCCCCAGGGATTGGGGTAGGAATCCCAATTTTACAGTTTTGTAGCCTCATCTACCAAGGATGATTCTGACCAAGTTTGTAAATATTACATCCACTGGTTCTTGAGAAGAAGTCGAAAATGTAAAAAGTTTACGTTTGACAGACATCGGACGACGCACAACGAACGGAAAGCAATCAGAATAGGTCACTTGAGCAAAGTTCAGTTGACCTAATAAACTACTTGTTTCAATAGAATTCTCTTTTCATTAAAAAACATATTTCTGTGACCTTACCAGAGTCATTTTTACACATGCTGAGGGCTGTCTTCATGGCCTTTTGGATGAGTTTAGGAAGGAGTGTTCCCTCATCACCCTGACTCCGGATCATCTGCTTCTTATTCAGGTCAAATATCACAATCTGAAAAATGACACCAATTTGGTTAAACTAAGGTAACAGTGGATTTATTATGGTTTATGTTAACATAATTCTGTAAACCAACTTTTCTGTACTGAATGGATGGGACTTTAATTAATTTTACCATCAAAACATGTTTGGTTACATAACATTGTAGGTAAAAATACCTTCACCTCACCTCACCTATCCTTTTCATGCCGGTCGGCATTTAAGGCCCTGTTAAAGATACTTGTTCACATGACACTAATAATACACTATAATTGAGTGTTTGCCATGACATTGTGTGAAAATAAAGATAGATACATATACATAGGTGTCTAGCTTTATATCATGTAGGGATAGGCTTGTCTTGTAAATGAAAAGACAATATCCAATATCAAGATTGGGTAGGGAGTAGGGGTCTACCCCAGTGAGGGGTAGGGCCAGTACGCTTTGCAGATGGACATTAGACAAGGGTGGGGCCTACCTCACAAAGGGGTAGGGCAAGTAGCCTTTGTAGATAAGACAGGGTTGGAGCTTACCTTACTGAGGGGTAGGGCCTGTGCCCTTTGTAGATAGGACAGGAGTGGGGCTTACCTTATTGAGGGGTAGGGCCTGTGCCCTTTGTAGATAAGACAGGGGTGGGGCTTACCTCACTGAGGGGTAGGGCCTGTACTCTCTGTAGATAAGACAGGGGTGGAGCTTACTTCAATGAGGGGTTGGGCCTGTACCCTTTATAGATAGGACAGGAGTGGGGCTTACCTTACTGAGGGGTAGGGCCTGTACCTTTTGTAGATAAGACAGGGGTGGGGCTTACCTTACTGAGGGGTAGGGCCTGTACACTCTGTAGATAAGACAGGGATGGAGCTTACCTTATTGAGGGGTAGGGCCTGTACCCTTTGTAGATAGGACAGGAGTGGGGCTTACCATACTGAGGGGAAGGGCCTGTACCCTTTGTAGATGAGAAGACAGGATCCTGATGAGGTAGGGGGTAGGGGCTTACCTCACTGAGGGGTAGGGCCTGTACCCTTTGTTGATAGGACAGGAGTGGGGCTTACCATACTGAGGGGAAGGGCCTGTACCCTTTGTAGATGAGAAGACAGGATCCCGATGAGTTAGGGGGTAGGGGCTTACCTCACGGGGATTACCTCACTAAGGGGTTGGGCCTGTACCCTTTGTAGATGAGAAAACAGGATGCTGATGAGGTAGGGGGTAGGGGCTTACCTCACTGAGGGGTAGGGCCTGTACCCTTTGGAGATGAGACAGGGGTGGGGCTTACCTCACTGAGGGGTAGGGCCTGTACCCTTTGTTGATAGGACAGGAGTGGGGCTTACCATACTGAGGGGAAGGGCCTGTACCCTTTGTAGATGAGAAGACAGGATCCGGATGAGGTAGGGGCTTACCTCACTGAGGGGTAGGGCCTGTACCCTTTGGAGATGAGACAGGGGTTGGGCTTACCTCACTGATGGGTAGGGCCTGTACCCTTTGTAGATGAGAAGACAGGATCCTGATGAGGTAGGGGGTAGGGGCTTACCTCACTGAGGGGTAGGGCCTGTACCCTTTGGAGATGAGACAGGGGTGGGGCTTACCTCACTGAGGGGTAGGGCCTGTACCCTTTGTAGAGGAGAAGACAGGATCCCGATGAGGTAGGGGGTAGGGGCTTACCTCACTGAGGGGGAGGGCCTGTACCCTTTGTAGATGAGAAGACAGGATCCCGATGAGTTAGGGGGGAGGGGCTTACCTCACGGGGATTACCTCACTAAGGGGTTGGGCCTGTACCCTTTGTAGATGAGAAAACAGGATGCTGATGAGGTAGGGGGTAGGGGCTTACCTCACTGAGGGGTAGGGCCTGTACCCTTTGTAGAGGAGAAGACAGGATCCCGATGAGGTAGGGGGTAGGGGCTTACCTCACTGAGGGGTAGGGCCTTTACCCTTTGTAGATGAGAAGACAGGATCCGGATGAGGTAGGGGCTTACCTCACTGAGGGGTAGGGCCTGTACCCTTTGTAGATGAGAAGACAGGATCCCGATGAGGTAGGGGGTAGGTGAGCAGCACACCTCCAGCATGCTCTCTGGTAGTACAGGTATGTAGACATGTTGCCAGTGGAAAGGATACAGTAGAGAAGAGAGGGCATGGATCGTCTGGGACAGCGTACTGAAGCAAATAAGATCAGAATGCCAATTTAATTTGTTTGAAAATTCTTATAGCAAATTCTTATACCTTGTACATTCATTTTTTGTGCACAAAAAAAGGGAAGATGATCATAGATGTTTTCTAAAAAGAAAACAGATTTAAATTCAGTTTTGTATACTGTATACATGTACATGTGTATCATGAAAACTCAAGCCCACATTAATGACCCGCCTGCTACATGTTACTTCAAATATATAAAATTGGTATGATTGTGTAATCATTTAGGTCAATGAGCAGTGAATACTTCATTTCTCTTACTTTATATGTGTGTTCATTTCTAGATTTTTTCTCCATTTTAATGTTCTTGAGTTTTGGTACACAACTTAGAGCGTGGAATGATACAAATTTAAAAAAAGCTGCTTTGACAGTGTCATTACAATTTTAAAACCTGTGGAATCTAAAGTAAATAAGACTGGGAAATTTCTAAACATTTTCTACAGGTTGGTAAGTATGGATTATCAGAAGTTCTTTATACACAACCAATAAAATTTTCTATGTGACGTTTCGATGACTAGTACGACATGTACACTGTCACCTTCATCAGACAAATGACCAGTGAAGCCTATGCACACATTTCATACTAGTCATCGAAACGTCACATAGAACATTTTATTGGTTGTGTATAAAGCACTTCCCATAAGACTGTGAAATACTTACCTAAGATTTTTGGCACAAAGCAAAACACTTCTCTCCAAGAGAATACAAGCAAAGATCTTAAGCAATTTATCCACTCCTAATCTCGTGAGTAAAAATTCACGGTTCGCCTGGAAAATATGAATAGTTGCTCAAAAATGTCAGCCTAAAACCTTATGTAGCAAAGTAGGTAAAATATTTCATTATTGAAAATAATCAACTTAAATATGTTGGATTCCCATTAAATAGAAAGTATATAATTAATAGCATACAGGCATTCATCCTTTTATAATTAAAAGCATAAAGAGGCAATAATCCTTATATAGTCAAAAGCATATAAGCATGTATCCTTTTATAATTAAAAGCATATAGGCATGTATCCTTATAAAATTAAAAGCATATAGGCACTCAGCCTTATATAATTAAAAGCATATAAGCATTCTTCCTTATATAATGAAAAGCATATAGGCATGTATCCTTATAAAATTAAAAGCATATAGGCACTCATCCTTATATAATTAAAAGCATATAAGCATTCTTCCTTGTATAATTAAAAGCATACAGGCATTCATCCTTATATATCTAAAAGCATATAGGCATTCATCCTTACATAATTAAAAGCATATAGGCATTCATCCTTATATAATTAAAAGCATATAGGCATTTATCCTTGTATAATTAAAAGCATATAAGCATTCATCCTTACATAGTCAAAAGCATATAGGCATTCATCCTTATATAATTAAAAGCATATAAGCATTCATCCTTACATAGTCAAAAGCATATAGGCATTCATCCTTACATAATCAAAAGCATATAAGAATTCATCCTTATATAATCAAAAGCATATAGGCACTCATCCTTACATAATCAAAAGCATATAGGCATTCATCCTTACATAATCAAAAGCATATAAGAATTCATCCTTATATAAT